ACGTCTTAGTACACACATGATCTACTGAAGACCTCACATTTACTCATCATAAGCATGATGCAAAACCGAGTTCCTCTGATCAACTCTTCCACAGCTACATTCAATCTCTTACCAACTATCTTTCTGGATGTAGGTATCATTGTATTACGAACAAAATAGAATTTAGGAGTTTGAATTCTTAAAATTGCGCTCTACCACACGATCTAGAGTAAGAAGAAAGAGTGACAGCCCTAAATGCCCTGTAGCCTCCTGCTTATAAGTGTGGTGCACAACAAACCCATAAACAACACTCTACGAGACACGGCTTGTAGACTTCCTAGGACAGAACTGCTCTGATACAACTTTTGTCACGACCCAAACCCAAGGGCTGCGACAGGCACCCGGTGCCTTACTCAATCGAGTACCAACGTAGCGTATCTTTCTTATCATACCATCATGGGTAAATGAGCCAGAAAACCCGTCATGAGACAACAAAAATAAAACATAAGGGAATACTCAACATATGACGTCCCAACATGATATACAAACTTATACATGTGACATACGGGCCAATAAGGCCGACATTACCATTTGTAAACTCAAAACAGAGGCCGACAAGGCCATACAAGTATCCATACACCTGACATCTATCTACAAGCCTCTAAGAGTACATAAAATCATAAAGGTCGAGATAGGGCCCCGCCATACCAATCAATACCTATCCAAAGCATACTGACCAAATAGGCAACTCCGGAGCAAGTGGAGTGCACCAACACTTCCACTGAGCTGATAGCCTACTTGGAGGACTTTCAACCTATCAATCGGGACCTGCGCGCTTGAAACGCAGCTTCCCCAGGCAAAAGGGGCGTCAGTACGAATAAAGTACCGAGTATGTAAGGCATGAAAGCATAAACAAGAACAGTAATGTAAAGAGAGATAGAGGAGATACCACCTGTAACATCTGAGTGCCTCTGGGAGCTACTGATATGAAATGTATAATACATAGATATACATAAACTTTTAAAAACATTTGCCTCTGTGGGCATCATCATCGTCATATCGTACCCGGCCTCAAAGAGGACTCGGTAAAAACGTACCCGGCCATCATAAGGCTCGGTAGAATCGTACCTGGCCACGTGGAGCTCGATAAACCCAACTGATCAATGGTTGCACAATAGGTGTCGTACCCGGCCGACTATAGCGCGACTCGGTAGAGTAAAATAGATACATATGTAATGCATGTAGGACTCATTGGAATCATATTCTGAACCTTTCGGAGTGACGTAAGGTCGATATTCTCCGTAAACGCTATTAGGAATAACTCTTCATCAAGAATCTTATAAGAATCAGGAAGTACCAACAACATTGATAACATAAAAATAAGAAAAGCAACCTCAACATCAATTGTTCCATAAGAAGGGAAACAATGTAAATACTGCTAGCTTCTAAGAGTAGAGTACCTTTGGAAGCTCGTTCATTGCATTATGTACAATCGAATTCATGCAAAATAAGGAAAGGGATAGCCTCACATACTTTGTATATGTACTGCCCAACCTCAAGCTATGCAAATGTCACGACCCTTTAGTCTACAATAAGAGAAATGACACTATCGTTATCGTTTAAGCGCTCGTAACTATTATATATTGACCACAATCTATTTTACGATGAAACGGACAGCACCTCCCCTGTATATATGATTTCACACAAGTCAAAACAATCACCAAACAGCCCAACATACCCCTATCACTTCATACACAACATGACAACCATAATAGTGTCAAACAATCCGAAAATGTTACGATGAACGACCAGCAAACAACCCTACCATTATGTGGTGTTTCTCCACACCCTTCCCCCTCTCAACTCCATAAAAACAGTAGTAAAAGAGACAACCCAATAGCAACACGAAACAGCCCACAAAACAGTCCTACAAGTTCAGCAACTCAACATTAATTTTTCAGTTTACTTAAACACGTGTCGACTTGTCTTTTCTTTCAAATTGAGAAACACAACCAAAAGTACATAATTATACCTCTTATCCAATAAACCAGCCATGAATCCAACTTAAAAATAGGTTCACAACTAGCCAACCATGACACAAGAACAAACAACAAACCACTCTTTCGAAACTCGCTAGGTCTATTCTTTATGATCGAGTTACAACTCGCAAACGCATAGATAATGGAAGGAGAAGCATAACCTTACCTTGTACTTAGGATAAACCACGAAACCTGGTCCTTCTTCATCAAAAATTAGTTCCTCAACGTGGCTACAAGAAGGAGAAAGAGAAACTAGCAAGCTGTCCGGACTTTTCAGCACTAGAATCACGTCGTAACATCCGAAATACCCTAGGGTTTGTGTGGGACTTTTGGGGAGGAGTTGCAGGGGTTAAATTTTGTTTTCAAGGTATGAAATATGGGTGAAATAAATTAGTTGATAATCCCTTAAAAGTCCCCTCTTGGCCGACTTTGGGGCTTTTAATTGAGTCCTCTCATTTTGGCAAGTAGGTGATGTACCTACTTGTCACCTACCAATCTGCGCAGTCTCGCAAAAATACAAATATATCTATGCTTCGAGATCGTATTGACAAAAGGTGCTTTGGAAACAAGACTCATAGATATTCAATTTGATATGTAGATCATCCCTTGATTCCACATATATTGGGAGAAAAGTGCAGTTACATTTGACCTAAAATTCAGCACATTATGAATGCAACTTGTGATGACCTTTGCCAACTTTTTGTTCCATAACTTGCTTGACTAAAAAACATAACACACGACTATCATACGAATAAAATAACTCATAACTTAACCTCCTCATCATGTTAATCACCCTAGTCTCACCCCAAAAGTATATGTTATAACATTTCAAACTTGTTGACTTTGGACGAATCTTATTTTCTTCAATTCGTTTAGCGTCTAAGCTTTCAAACCCTGTTGGTACTTGTTATTCATGATCTTAAAGATTTGTAACCTCCAAGATAACATGATGAACTTACATTATGTACTTTAAAAAATAATCTCATTTCCGAGCTTACATCAATCGCTTACGACGTACTCTCACGTACGAAAACATGGGATGTAACAATATAAATATAATGTGATGCATAGGTCTGTATGTACATAACATCATAGAGCCTCTGAGGGCACCCCATCATATCATCTCAGCCACTGTGGGCAAAATCATCATCGTATACCAGTTGATCAGGTGGTGATGCATATATAACGCCGTAACCTTTTCCCATATCCCATATACATATAATATACAGATATACACGTATATAACGCCATCTGGTCATGGGTAAATGTACATGTATAAATCAACATGCATGAGAAGTACACAAATAAAATCTCTCAGAATGTCATAAACCAGTATACCTTTGAGTAATATCATGAAGTAAACTTTTTTTCAACTTACGTATTTTTCTGAGACCCATGAACAGAAGATGTAATAATAAGACACATGGGAATTCAATAACATAGGCACCTCTAATACTTATATGAATAGAGTCATTTATGGAAGTTGTGCATTTGCTCGTTTCATTTGTGTCGTATAGATCATCCCAAAAGGAATGGATGGATAGCCTTAACATAGCTGAGCCGATTCTCTATTGGAAACAACCTCTATGCCTTGTGGGAGTATACTACCCTTCCCATACCCCACTTGTGGAAGTACACTGGGTATGTTGTTGTACTCAATTACATGAGACAGCAGACTGATGTGACATATCCAAAATCCTGAATAAGCAGATGAATAAAGTGAAGTACCTCAATTCCGCTGACTTGTATTGCCACAATCTCTACGGAGAGCTATTTCTTCGATAGCTCTTTTACATGTATATATCTCGTATGTGAGGTCGTCGTCCCTCTTTTGACTATAATTGAAGTACCAAAAACTGTCGTGATTTGGAAGCTGAAAATGTCATAGCCAAGCCAGAATAACATTTAATTTGCTATGTAAATAAAATATGAGAGGGAGGGGGACATCATTACAGAGGAAATTTTGACTTGGAAGGTTCCAAAGTATCACCAAATGAACTGCAATTTATAACTATATAATCGTTCCAGCTACTCAATGTAGATGGATTATAGGAAAAGAAATTGTGTCTCACACAAAGTACATCAACTTTTTCCTCTTGATGGAAACTTGATGCACAAGATGGAGAATTCTGAACAGTATATTTGAGTTTCTATGATGAAATTTCCACTTGACAGGCTGATATAAATTCAAATCTATGTTCAAAACAAAAGATACCAAGTCTTGATACAATAACATAAAATCCTTGTTCAACATGGACTGAAATACTACACAAGAGAGTGCCTGATCATTTTTCAACCCCTTTTTCACAAGATATAGTGCGATTGATATAATTAGCCTTTCCAAAATGAAAGCAAAAGGAACATTAAAAGTTTGGCTTCCACGTGGCCATGAATTGGCGTGGAAGTCCTATCGTTTTGACGACTAATCTATATAGAATAGGAGAAGCAAAGTCATTTTATTATGCCAAGTGTCAATACATAAATTAAACATGTGTCCAATTTTTGAACACACTTCCAACTAATTTGGAAGTTCAAAAATAATTTAAAATTATTTCAAATAAAAATTTAAATATGATAATACAGTTGAACTTACATGCTAATGTGTTCTACGGTTTTAAATTTGCTAAAAGCAGTTCAAATTTTTTAAAACTTCTTTAATTGGTTTACACATGTTTGTAGACATTGGGAGTCTTTAAAACTCCCACGTTTGATACGTTTTTTTAATCTTTAACTTTAAAACATGAATTTGATTTAAATTATTATATAAAAATTACAAATTACACATTTAAAAAGTATGTTTTTTACTCTTTAACTTTGAACCATGAAAACAAAACTTTCTTTTAAAGAGTTTTATTTAATTTAAAATTTGAGATTTTTTTTAAATCAACTGATTTTATACATTTTAAAAATTAACTGATTCAAAATTATTTGGAAATAAAAGCTCCTTCGAAATTTTTGAACCATGAACGTCGTAACTTTTTTTTTAAGAAAAGAGCTTTAATTTAATTCAAAAATTCATATTTCTTTAATTTTAAAAAGTTATGTTCTTTACTCTTTAACTTTAAAAAATGATTTAGTTTATTATTTAAAAAATAAAAAATTTCACATTTAAAACCCCTCATCCTCTACAAAACCTAAACTAAAAATAGCGTACAACCCCTCAACCATATGCACGAAATCACGATTTTTCCAACCAAATAGCACGATTGAATCACACGAAACCATATGGAACTGCTTCAAACGGACATTTCTCCAACCGATTCAAATCTTCATGTTGCTACCAAAAATTCAAGAAACATACGGCTTGCAAAATATGGCTACTCAAAGTGATTTATTTAATGATATAATAATATCGCAAATGCAATGAAAGCTGAAAGTTGGATTGTTCGTCTGTGGAAAATACCAGATCGTTACAATTGAGATGCTACTTTCTCGATTGAATCAGTTCTGCAAGATGAAAAGGTATTAAAAACTATTATTTTCTCATAATTCGTTTTGGTAACTCTATTTTTTGATTAACATGGGTGTTTACAAATCTGAATTTTTTGATATGCTCTTCATATATTTTTTAATTTCGATGTGCATATTCATGGTATAACCAGTTGCAAAAAACTATATTTAAGTTGCAGATTTTCGTTAAATTGCATGTTTTAAGTCTTTTTTGAACTCACTTATTTTTTTATATTTGTTAGGATCCCGACTTCAATACTATTGAAGACTTCAATACTATTGAAGGCGTAGATGAAGCGATGGAATGCGAGGTAAATACATCGCTTACTTTTAATTTGTCCTTATGGTGACACTTATTTTACTTATACATGGATAGCTATAGTTGATAATAAGATGCTAATCTTGGAGCACTCATGTTCTTATCCCTGGTTGGAGCCTCTAGAATGAATTAAGTTATATCTCCAAAAGTTACTGGGTTCCCGAGAACCCATATACCATACTCTAGATTCGCCTCTGCATATAATATGAAAATATAACATGATTCAAAATGAATAGGAGTAATTTATAACTAAATGAATCTAAAAAAATCTTTATTTACTAATCTTTTAAATTCATTTGTTATTTATCCATAATCATCATTTCAATCTTCTGTCCCTTAGCTTCTTACATGTAATTAGCTTCTTACGTGTAACTCGTGATGAAAATCATAAAGTGGTTCATTTGTAAATACATGTTTATTTAGAAATAATCTCATATGAGATATTAATTCATCTCGAATTATAATTATGATAAAAGAAAGAATAGTATGATAAAAAAAAACTAAAGTCACACTAATGGATTGCGTTATTTCAAAACTTAAGAAACTGCTGATTCAAGCGTTATTTTTGGGTGTTTAATCACTAACTTGGTTAACAATTACTTTTAGTTCCAAATATCATAAAATTAATTTGTAGTAACATCAATCATAATTTATAGAATAAAACATTTGAGTTTTGTTCATCACATCTAGCGTTTTTCTTCCTAAAATGAAGTTATGTGCAAGAATTTTAAATTTTAAAATTATATAATCGAACCCACAGAGGAATGTGTTATTATATTAGATGACGACATATGATCTCGAGCGTCTATGCAATATATTATTATCAAGAATATGGAAGAAAATGTTATGCATAAATATTCCAAAGCGTACTTTTAAAGGCAAAAATAACAAGCAAGGACACTTTTAATTGATACAACAATGGAGAGGACTTTGGTCTTTCACATGATTAATGCTACATATACATCTATTTTTATTACATCTCTCGCTGTTCATCCCTTTTGAATTACTGACCGCGCATCGCGCGGGTACGACTACTAGTTAAAAGTTTAAAAACATTGTCACACCTCCTTTTACACACTACCCCGAAGGATAAATGTATAAGGGAGTTTTTCCATTTAAAGTGACATTATTCGAAAATGGGATTATTTATTTATTTCTTAGAGTCGCCACTTGGGATAGGATTGGCTTTTGGTGTCCCAAGTCACCGGTTTAATTTAAATCCCAAATCGAGGAAAAATTCGACTTCCCAATTGGAGCCTGCGAACCAGAAATTCTGAATAAGGAATTCTGTTGACCCGAGGGAAGGTGTTAGGCACCCCCGGATCCCGTGGTTCTAGCACGGTCGCTTAAATTATTATAAATGGCTAAAATTCTGATTTTATACATATTCAAACCTATAGTGCAATTTTATAAATTATTTACCGCTTTTATTTACTTTTTACGGAAGTGAACGCCGTTTAAGAGCGTGTTTTTGGATCACGTCGCATGAAATGCACCCGGATCCTCAACACCTCTTATTCAACGTTTTGGGATTTAGATTTGGGTTGCATGAAATGCACTCCCGAATTTAGGAAAATAATATCATCAAAAGCGCGCCTAAAGTAGTTAGCGTCTTATTAACTTCGTGGGAAGCCATGAAAATTCGCTAAATGGCATGTCCCGATTCTCTAAGATTTTATAAAGCATTTAATGAGGGTCCCGTGATTTATATGTTTGGTGCGGCGAGGCTCGTCTCATATTTTGGTTAGAGACCATCCTAAAAGAAACTATGATTTTTTATTACAGCATTGTCTCTAAAAGGGCCCTAATTAATTCGCATTTATGAACTCGGGCCTCAAACTCAAGTCCGAATTCAAACAAAAGGGAAAACCCTCTTAATTTGAACCCGCCACCTAATTTGAAACCCAAATTCATATTTGTGAGTTAATTTCCATGTTCTAATGTAGTTTTAAAGACTTTTAGACTTAACAATTTGGGCTTTGCACATCAGCCCGACATGCAGCTTTGGTTTTGTTAATGCTGCTCATTCAGAGTTTGGGCCACGATTGCAAGTCAGTTTTGGGCCTCTAATTATCAATTGAAAGCCATATTAAACTTTAACTACAAGGCTTCGAATTTCTGTCGGATCTACTGTTGANCCACAGAGGAATGTGTTATTATATTAGATGATGATATATGATCTCTAGCGTCTATGCAATATATTATTATCAAGAATATGGAAGAAAATGTTATGCATAAATATTCCAAGCGTACTTTTAAAGGCAAAAATAACAAGCAAGGACACTTTTAATTGATACAACAATGGAGAGGACTTTGGTCTTTCACATGATTAATGCTACATATACATCTATTTTATTATAACTCTCGATGTTCATCCCTTTTTGAATTAAATCCGCGCATCGCGCAGGTACGTATACTAGTGCCTACTAATACAAAGACATCACCCTACATACTTATCCGCATATATTTGTAGTTAATATATATATATATATATATATATANTATATTGCTTTACATACTCGGTACAGTATTTCGTACTGATGTCCTGTTTCTGGGGGCGCTGCATTTCATGCGTGCAGGTTCAGACAGAAAGACGGGTAGACCTCCTCATTAAGTGTTTTCCGAGTTTAGCTTCATCGGTAAGCTCCATGCATTTCGGAGTTGCCGAGTCTAGAGCTTTATGTACATCTTGTGTATATATGTATATATGTTATGAGTAGGTCGGGAAGTTGTTCCGATCACGGTATACTCACCAGTAGAGGCTTGTAGACATATCCTGTCAGTTAGTGCAAATTGTTGGGCTTGTAGGCCTTGTATGTACATTTGGTTGGTTTGTCAGCTGCAATAATTATGATGGCCTTGTCAGCCCAGCTTTATATTGATGTTTAGTCAGCATTCACAGTTGTCTTGGAATGTGGCCCATGGCCAAAGTATGACATCACATGTTCAGAGTTTCTTTAGTCGCAAGTTGGTACGCAAGGATACGTGAGGCACCGGGTGTCGGTCTCGCCCCCAGGTTCGGGGCGTGACACTACTGCTGCCAGGAATACAAAAGATGCCCTAAAAAGGCACGGGGTGCTAGTGTAAAATTCTTGTAGAGTAAACAAAATCATCTCTCTGAAGATCCTAACTAATGCGGTGCATGGGTGGCGCATGGCGCACCGCGCCAGTGTATTTTCGCGGTCCAATTGTCCCACTTCGGCATGGAAAGGATAGGTTCGTCCGGGCCTATTCCTACATGGTATAAATACATAAAAAATAATACGATTTTTAGAGGACCTTTGACATACGGAAGATTGGAAGAGCATTGGAGACTCAAAGCACAAGGATTCATCATTCTTTCCTCAACTCAACACCCAAGTTTGGATTGAATTAATGTTTTCTTATTTTTCAACTTTATTTGTGATAGCTTTCTCCATGATTATGGAGTAGTTTACTTTAGGGTTTGACGGATATGCTGTTTTAATTGATGTTTATGGAATTTTTATGGATTTTAACTCTAGTTTTTTTCATGAATTCGCGAGCTTTGAATTAATCGCAACTTTTTTCACCGAATTATTCAATCGAACGAGGAATATTTTGGGTGATTATCCTTGCATTAACTTGTTTGGTTTAATTAAGTGATACCTTTAAGTAATCAAAAGAGCTTGTTTTGTTGATTAAATATAGTTAGGAGAATATTCGAGAGATATTTTCCTAAGACTAGTCCATTAATGCGTTATTGCACATTTTCACAGTGCTTTATATTGGTTCACCTCATAGAGTTAAGATTTAATCGAGAGAGGTGTCTTGGCTAGACGATTGAACTAATCATCGAGTGAAGTCATGAGAATTATTAGAACATTAGAGTGAATTGAACTAGAGTTAGATCCTAAATAGCTGTCTTGCACTTATCTTGTCACGATAAGTGTTTCTCCCATTGATTATTTCGTTGTTGTTTAACTCTTGTATTTTCGTGATCAATTGTTAATTGCTTTAGTTTTCATGGTTAATTTTGGTTATTATTGTTAATCGTTCTGAATAGAATTAAGCCATAAATTAGTTTAACATTATTTAAATCCAATCCATGAGGAGATGATAATTAAACTATACTATCTTTGGCCAGTGAGCATCAACTTCGCGTTATATTATGCGCGAGTTATATTTTAGTGTCGTTGCCGGGATTTGCAATAGAGTTCAAAATAATTTTTTGCGCTAATTCTGGAATTAATTTTTTTTTCTTTTTATTTTTTATTTTAATTAACTAGTCTTCAAGATTTCTTTTGTTGTACCTGACTAGTGCTAGGGATAAAACTTGAAGAATTATTCTTGATATTGAACACTAATTGGTGTTGACGATGGAGTACAACCAGCCTAAGAAAATGATCGAAGAGTTAGCAGCTGAATATTATCACAAATCTGTTATTTGTTTTGAAAGTAGTGGAAATAATCTGTGGGTTAACTGTCAAGCGGCTAAGTATTACTTCTATGGTTCATCTTTTGAAAAGTCTCACTCTGTTTCTAGTCCGTACAGGTATGAGGTTTCATATAGGCACAATCTTGACTCTATTTGGGATGATTACCCTTATTATGTCTAGAATAAAGCGAAGTGAGACAACCACCTCAAGAGGAGAGTGGTAGTTTAGAAGAGCTTAGGTATAAGTTCATGAATAGTGTCGAAGAAAGATTTATACAAAATGATGAAGCGGTTAAGAACATAACAACACAAGTTAATCAAATAGTAAGTATACTTTCAGAAAGCTCATTGTGTTGTGATAGTGAATATATGGAGGAAATGCCCTATGAGAATGAGTCTACCCAAGAGGATGAGTATCTACAGAGAGAGCATTCCACTATGCAAGTGGACTCTAATTCAACTGAGATGATTGAAAATGCGAATATGATTGAGTGTGAGGCAATGGAAGAAGAGTTCAAACCCGTATCCACCTTTTTACATTTACAATCATTAGTAGAAGAGAATGAAAAATAAATGGTCTCGGACATACCACAAGAATATTCACATGACCGTTCTTCTTTATTTTCTTATTCTAATATTCATCATGTGGATTTTATTTTTGGGGATTTAGAGGAAGATGCATAGATTGATCCTGTAAAAGAATGCATGAAAGTGTAACGACCCAGCCGGTCGTTTCGACAATTTAAGCTCCGTCCAGCGGCGTAAGGTCTGGAACAGCTTCATAATATGAGTATGGACTTGCGTGCATGGATGGATTTAGTTAACGGATGATTTAGGGTCAAATTGGAAGAAGGAATCTAGTTTTGGGAGTTTAAGCGCTGAAAATTTGACCGGAATTGGACTTTTGAGTATGCGGCCCTGGAATGTTG